TATTGTGATGATTTTACTTTGTTCTTCATTTACATGTAAACTTGATCAACTTGCATGTTAAAATCTGTTGTGAGAACATGTAAGATCCGGGATGTATTGTCTCAATCGACTTTGGTGTAATCACTTGAGATTATATGGATGAGAATGTAGTCCATATAGCTGAGTAAAAAAATAGAAAAATAATTTTTAAAGGGTGTAGAATTAAGTACTTTAGACTGACAGGCTAAAGCCCCCTAATTTGGTCTATTGTTTTAGGTTTTGATGCGAGATGTTAGTGTTCAGGTGGAGGGATAAGAGGGAACTCTAGAGTGAGAGCTGGTATCTTTCCTGCCTAGCTCATCTTCAAAACTATTCAAACTTTTGATTAAATAATGTTCATTATAACATCTCTAGTAAGGGTAAAGAATATAATTGCTCTTATTTGTCATAATCTCTCTCACTACTTGTTTTACTTTTACACATGTTACTAATTTCATTGCATGAAGAATGGTACTTTTAATATATTAAACATCACTTTCTGATTTTTATTAAGTATTTTAGTTTAGGAGTAGAAATGGAATTGTAGTGATAATTTTAGGATAAAATCAAAACCAAAACTTTATCGACCTTACAAGCTAGGGCGTGTTATTCTATACTAAAACTTCTCTTGAAATCCCCCGTGATTAACCTCGATCTCCGTGGGATTGATATTCAGGGCTTAATCAGAAAGCCCTATATTACTTGATAACGATACATATACTTACATAGAATCCCTACAAATATAATTAAAATCTTACTTTGCTTGGGATCAAGTTTGGGATCAATTTTTTGGTGCATTTACCAGGGATTAAAATCTTCAAGTAGTGATGTCAACTTCATAAATCCTTACATATAAAAAATATCGGGATCACTAAACACCCCTATAATTTATAACTAAGGGTTCACTTCTTCAAGAATGTACTACTGAATCCATTCCAAGAAAACTTGAATTTTTTTTGCACTCTACTTCTTTTTTTTCCTTCCACTACTTTCTTCCGTCCAACATTCTATTCCTTGGGTGTGATCCATAAAAATATTCAGAAGTCAACATCCTAAAATGTGTGGTAACAGTGGATTCATGTCATTGATAAGAAAAGGAGCGCGCCATGAAGAATATACTTGGGGGAAACTTCTAACATGGATTTCACATGAGAATTTAAGCAACAACGAACTCAATAACTGACCCACATTGTGCTTGAGGGAGAGCATTAGCTCTTCCAAAACCAAATCCACAAGCAACTAAGCCACAAGACCATCAGAAGGCTTGGAGAGACGAACAAGTTGAAAAATGCTAGTATCAAGACAACGTTGAGTCTATGTCAAAGAATAAGTCATAAATGTGTGAATGAAAGTCTAGCACTAACTAGAGAATGAATTCTTTCAAAAAAATTTTGATGCAGACCCCCTCAGGAAGTTCAAGGTTTCATCTTTGAAGCCCTAAAAGGTTTGGAGCAATATAGTTGATCACATTGTGTTTTTTTAAGTTGGATATATGCCTTCTCAAAGTTTGTGAGAAATTAATGTGTCGATTGTTCTATGCCACATTGGGGGATTTGGCCTTTAGGTAGTTCAATGGCCTCCTAGTAGGATTTATCACTTTCATTGGCATGTTCAACAAGTTATTCATGTCGCAGTTTATTATCGCCTAAAAATACTGTTAAGGACTCAGAAACTTTATGACATGTCAAACAGGGGCCAAATGAGAACATTCGGGCCTACGTCAATCAATTCCAAAAGGAGATGTTGAAAGTGCGGAATCTGGAACCTCTGATAGCAAAGGTCGTCCTAGCACAAGGGCTCAAGAGTGCCCAAATTAAATATGTTTTGGGTTTACGTAAACCTGATATCTTGGTCGAACTTTTAAAGTTGGCTAATGCGCATATTGTGGCAGAGGAACATATTAACTCACATATTTAAAAAGGCCAAAAATATGACTGTCGCTCAAAAATAAGTGCTCCCGAGATGACAGGTGAATGGAGAGGGATAACCCTTGCCCAAAATGAGAAAGAGGTTGGTCGTCTCGTGGTGACAGAGAAATTAACTGAAACTTGTAAATATGATCTCAATTGAATGCTCGATTGATTGAAGACCACCGAACACCAAAACCCACTCAACTAATGATTTCAAGGGATAAATTGGTGGAAGCTATTCAAAGCAAGGAGTACTTCTAGAAGGCTCCATCGATGAGAACCAAAGCTTTCAAATTCTTCCATTATCATAAGGACCATGGTCACGACATGGAGGAGTGCAAACACCTCTAAAGATTGGTTGAAGAATTGATTAGAGACATAAAGGTCAAAGAGTTTGTGGCCCCTTGAGCACAAACCCAGTGGCAGGGGAAAGCACACGCAGAGGATGACTCAAATGAACACGTCCTAACAAATGTTCTCCACATTGTGAGGATAATGTTTGCAATACTAGGTGGAGAATTGGTCAAAAGATCCAACCATAAGAGAATTCAATCAGAGGGAATATTGTGTTGTTGCTTCCGCCTCAAAGCAGAAGCCACATCCCCCATTCTTCTTTAATGACGCATATTTGTGTTCCATGGGGAATCCCCACAATGGTGCCATAGTAGTTACAAGGATGATTAATATTTATCAAGTAGGTAGTATCTTGGTTGATACATGCAGTTCAGGGAATATACTATTCAAATCAGCCTTTAACAAATGCATATGTCAGTCAATCAACTAGTTGCACTAACCGGCTTACTGTATATGTTTTTCGTCGATTTAAAGGAGGCTCTGATTATAATTAAGTTATTAGTCACAAAAGAATAAGATAACAGTTAAATTATTAACATGGAGGAATTTCTTGTGATTGATGAGCCACTAACATACAACACTATATTTGGTCACCTACTGCTCAATAATTTCAGAGTAGTGGTATCCACCAACCATGTGATAATGAAGTTTTCGTGTGCTGAGGAAATAGTGAGAATCTTGGAAATCTAGAGCAATCTCAAACATGATACCTCATGACAGTTGGTAGCATAGAATAGGAAATGTTGGACATCCATAGCCAACGAGAAGGGGTCTCAAAATTGATGATATTACATTCAAGATTCTCAACTGCCCTCAACGAATTAAGTGAAGTTTTTCTAATCAGTAAAATTTTTTTACGCAGGGCACAAGCACTTATTGATTTAGACTCTCCAGGAGCATCATGATGTCATTTTTTGATATATTGTTGAGATGTCGGGCATCCTAATAGACATAACATGCCACCGTCTTAGCGTTGATCCAATCGCCAAGCCAATAAAGCAAAAGATTAGAACAATGATCATGCTTTTAGTCGGGTTAATTCGCAAGGCGGTGCAGGAGCTCAAGAATATGAGCTACATCCATGAGTTCTAATATCCATCCTACATATTCAATGTATTCATGGTGTAGAAGTCCAAAAATAAATAGAGAATGTGCATAAACTTCACAAATCTGAACTCAGCCTACCCTAAGGATTATGTAATTGGATATTTTGTAATGAGCTTTCTAGAAGCTTTATCCAGGTACCATCAAATTAAGATGCACCTGACTGATGCAGAGAAGACAGTTTTCATTATTTGCGAAGACTTATATTGTCATACTGTAATGTCCTTCTACTTGAAAAAGGCTGGGGCTACCTACCACCATCTTATGGACGTAATTTTTTCTAAAAGAAAGGAAAAAAAATTGAAGTCTACGTCGATGATGTCTTAGTTAAAAGTAGGTTGCCTGAACAACTTATAAATGACTTAAAAAAATATTTGAAAAGCTCTGAGATGGATTCCTTCTGGTAGCGCATGAGGGAGTGTGGCAAGTCAGCGGCAACATTTGAGGGGGAAGCGGTGGAGGACCATGGGGATGAGATTGAAGAGATATCGAAAGATGATTAGGAGAGGTATTTTTCTTTTTTTTTCATGTTTATATACATTTAGGCATATATTTTTTATGTGAACAACGATTTACATATTTTAGAGTAAAAGTATTTTATCAATTTCATTATTTGTATGGATAAATTATTGTTTGACAGCTATGTTATTTCGTTAAATGCTTGAAATTGTATATTAAATGTTGTGATAGTAGGTTTGGTAATTTAAATACGATTTTTCTTCTCATGCTACAGGTTTTCGACGACTTTAATAGTTTTATTTTTTACTTTTGCTTTTTGTTACTCACTATTTAGTTGTAATATTTGAATTTATGAGATTTTGGGAATGCTGAATCAAATTTGTCTTAACTTTCTTGTATGAGTCATTCAATCTCGACTAATTCTAATTTAAACAATACAACATTATAGGGGCAAATAAGTTTTTATCATAAACAGCCGCAACATTGTTGCTACAACACAGCTGCACAAAATAAACAGACACACAAGTTGTCTGCAGCAGCTGTGTCTTGTGTAATATTTTTTAATAAGTCACAATTGCCCTAAACACAACCTTAAATCTGCGAGGAATTGTTTTTTCAAAAGCATAATTACAGATACAGGTGAAAAGTGCTCATTAATTCTTCAATTTCTTTGGTTGCATAAATACTCCTCCGCCATTAAAGCCACCAAACCCAAGACGGAGAAGTTAAATAAAAACTTCACACTTCACGCAGGCTAATAAAGAACAACCATGCAACCCTTTCCTCTTCCAATAAAATTCATTCTTCGCACCTTAATTCACCTAAAACTTTCAAACAAAATATATTTTAAGAACATGCGGTTAGCAGTGCTTAGTTAGTCTGATCATGCATTATAGCCTTAAATCCATCGGAATCACCATCACGAAGGTAACATGCCCTCTAAAACTAAACCTACATTCCTGTTTAGATATTTATCACACTGAAAGCAAGTCCAACAGCAAAGCATTTGTTTAACAGAGCTCTTGAGGAAATTTAAATTCTTGGTGCTAAATGTGTGACCTTTACCTAGAATGAACTTTATTAAGTCTAGAGCGTCTGTCTACAATATTTATAATGGTTTTTGGCTTGCTAGTTGTGAGATTGTGTATGCTTCCATGGCTAAACTTCAGATTAATCTGGGGAGCTTGAAGAAGAGAAAGAGGGGGGAGAGGATTTTCTGTTTCGATTCATTTTGCAAGCCCGGTCATCCGACTCATTTTGATGGCAGTTTTCAAGAGAATATGAGATCACTTCTAGTGTTTGGCCATGATGAAGTTATAGTGCATGAGGGATTGAAGTGCTGGTCTTTTCCTCTCGAGTTACATCACAATTCTGCTGCGGGATTGAAGCTTTTTGTTGTGGAAGAAATTGTGGGGATGTCGTCGCATCGGCAATGTTATTATTGTCGTTCTGTCGGTATTACATTCAACTAAAAGTTTATTATATTTGATAATTGCGATTAGTTATCGACATTATTATTTTTAGTTGGTATTATTTTTTTTTTTGGCAGAATTAATTGAGTCTTGAACTTTGGCAAAATATCATGATCTTCTCAGGGGTAGCTTCGGGTTATTTTTTTTCTATTTATTTTTTTAGTTTTTTTTTATATATATGTTTTAATTTGGAATAAAATATATTCAATATAGTTAATTAAGATATGATTTCCTCATGATATTCACTCTAACAATTTTTTTTTTTAAAAGAAGTAACTTTTAATATTTTTCTTACAATGGACTCAGGTTTGAAATAAAACAATTAGAAATTTTATTGGCTTGGTATTTTAAAATTGCAAAATTTTAAAAAAAATTATTAATAAAAATCATTAAAAAATACAAAATGAATTGATAATTAAATTTGTTTAAACGTTAAAAGAAATTGCAAATAACCGAGAAAAGAAATACAAAAATAATTTAAGGCAGCATTTTTAATTTCTTGAATCACGAAAGAAATTTGAATTAAAAAGTTCAAATTGTGCTTTAGCGTTAAAGTCATGATTCTTTAATTAAGTTGGGGCTGTGCTAGTTTGAAAAAAATTTTTAGTCCACACGTCCGAACGACCAACCACTGGGAATCACGTCGCTCGCATGCCGATGACTTTAACGTTTAAACAAATTTAATTATTATTCATTTTGTATTTTTTAATGATTTTTATAATTATTTTAACACAAACGGACGCATCATTGTTCTTGTTTGATAATTAAATTTGTTTAAACGTTAAAAGAAATTGCAAATAACCAACCATTGTTGGCCGTCCGAACGCGCGGTGTTCGGACCGAATATTTTCTCCATTAAAAGTTACTGCTTGATTGTTAAACAGGAAAAAATATTATATTAAATCGTTTGAGATGACAGTGTAGATAGTATCATGAAAGATGAACGTAATATTTTCACTTTTATCAAATAAATGTTTGTAATCATTTTTCAATTTTTTTCTTAAAATATTTTTTTCTGCTAATTTAAGAAATTTCAAAATCAAATTTTAAAATTTCAGCTAATTAATGTCAAGTCTATCTGTAGATATGACTGTCAAAAAAGCTCGTTCTCTAATAGTTTGTGTTTGGTTCGTCAATGAGTTCGTGTTCGATTCATTCGATAAGTAAACGAGACGGATGTGAACAAATTTTTTTTATTCAGTTAGTTAAACGAACCAAACAAGAACAATGATGCGTCCGTTTGTGTACAAATCGTTATTGTTCGAAATATAAAATAATTTAAAATAGTTATATATATATATATAAATTTTATGATATTTTAAAAAAAATTAAATTTTAAAAATTATAATATAAAATAAAATAATAATAATAATATATTAATATACTATATTAATAATATACTAATATAGATATTATAT